TATTTGATACAATTAATTGAGTCACTATTAAAATATATAAATAATTGAGTTATAACACATTTATTTTTGAGGATTTTGGGAATTGAGTCAACAGCAAAATAATTTATATTACATATATACTACCTATCTTAGTTGTAGACACCTATATTTAAACAATCTTAACTTTTTCAAATGTATTACTAAACTAATCCAAAATTATATAAATCTTATTTTCACTTAATTTAGATTATTTCCATTTGGTGATAATGGTGTCAAGATTTGATCATCAAAACACATGATAATGATGTCAGATTTCTGTCATCATAACACTGATGATAGTGTCAAAATTTGATCATTATGACATATAATAACAATGTCAGATTTTTGTCATCATGACACTAATGATGGTATCAAGATTTGATTATCACGACATATAACAACAGTGTCAATATTTGATTGTCATGACATATGATGACAGTGTCAAGATTTGATCATCATGATATATAACAACAGTGTCAGATTTCTGTCATCATAACACTGACGACAGTATCAAGATTTGATCATCATAATATATGACAACGGTGTTGGATTTCTGGCATCATAATACTGACGACGGTGTCAAGATTTAATCATTATAATATATAATAATGGTGTTTGATTTCTGTCATCATGATTTTTAACTGTAGGATTGACAATAGATATAATTAATTCATTTTCAAAATCAGAATCAGACTTAGAATTGTAATTCTCTAGCTTTTCTATATAAGTTTTGAAACTTTTTTCAATCTTTTGTATAAAGAGTTTATTGATAGCTTGATCTGGCTTAATGTTGCAGTCTGGCTTCTCAATTTTTTGCATTATAATTTTATCAATAGTTTGAGTTAGCATGCTCTTGCAGTCTTGCATTGTTGTCATTTTATATACTGCATAAAATATCTAATAAAAAAAATTAATCGTATAAATTCTATATTTGATCATGCAATATATATTATTTGATTATACTATCGATTAATACTTGTACCCAGTTGTTAAAGTTCGCTAGAGAGAAAATATTGTCAGTGATGCCACATGTTAGCTTTATGACCTGCCATATATAGATTATTGGTTCTGAGTTTTTTGTTGGAATGAAGGATAAGATTGATTTGCTTGATAATCTGATTGGTTTTTTATAAAGCTGTTGAGTATTTAAATACATGTTGTATGTTTTTAGTACGAAGCTTATATCATAGGCAATAGGGATCTGGTTATTGGTTTGAATATTGTTAATAAAGATTCTTTTATATAGGAAGAGTTCCTGATAAGAGCTTGATGTAAAAGGCAATTAAATCATTGTATTTGTTGTTTTATACATTTTTCAGGATTTTATTGGATTTATTAATTATTTTGATACCTTAAAAATTATAAATAGAATCAAATGTTTTTAGAATTGATAAGCTTTCTGCTATTATATATGTTTTGGTAATACTAAAAATCTTTTTGCACTATCTGATACTATTATCCAATTAAGAATTATTAATTGAAGGATTTTTTAGAAAGTATAATATTGGATTATTTCAGTTTATAGTATTGTTGGCTCTTGGTTTTGACTTAGGGCTAGAATAAGTAAGAAGAATCGTTTTCTTAAGTATCATCTTGTTAATTTTTTGAATAATTGAGGAGAAATTGATTTTTGCTATTTTTTTGAGATAATTGGAAGTCTCCTGAAGTATTTTTCTATTGTTTCTTATTTTGATTTCACAGTTGGAAGAACACCAGTGAAGAAGATTGAAGAGAACTTGTAGCAGATTGCTAGGTAAAAGACCAGGATTGCTTAGTTTGATTTTGAAGTTGTTTACAAAAATATATTCTCAATAGTATTGGATATAGTATAATTGAAGAAAATCAATTTCCTGAAATGTTGAGATGAGAAAAGAGTTGAAGAAAATGTCTACTAATTGGATAGTATATTTATTTTTTAAGTGAGTTCTTGAGATCTCTTTGATTATATTGCTTAGATGATATTTATTGGAACTTGAAAGGTTGAAAAGAACCTACAAAGAGAATGCTTCTGAGCTTGTAAAGTTTAGTATATATGAGCCAGCACTTGAAGTGTCAGCTAGGCAACAGTCATATTTTGTGAAAATATTGTTACTATCTATATTAAAGTGTCTTCCTTTGAATGAAGATTTTTCTGAATATGGTGATGTCTCTTATATATTTTGATGATGATATTGATATTGTGGATGAGCCAGAAGAATGCTTTGTAATTGAGTGTTGATTTATGAGATCCCAATAGATTGTTATGATTAGTGAAGTTTTTGAATCAACAGGGTTCTGATATACATCAGATAATTCCTATATGAGTATTATTATTATTATTATTATTGTTTTTTTTTTTTTTAATCGCAAACAGGCATTAAATATGAGACTTTTATTAAACGAGAGTTTATAGCCATTACATTAAGAATCTTTTACATATTTTTGTAAATTAATCCTAGCCTATCACGCCTTTTTACCAGAATACCAACTTACACCCAGTCGATGGGTCCATACCCTGGTTTTATGCTTATGACTCTCTACTTGTAAATATAAGGTAAGGAAAATCCTGTACAAACAGTGAAAAACCTTCCTAATGGTTTCCTTTTTGGCTTTATGACCTGACTCTTTCCTACAATTGGGTCACTAATCCAGATTGCGCCAACATCAAATAGGAAGATAGAGATCCAATCGAATTTCGAAGTCTGCTGATCCAGTTTGGGGTATTAGCTGATTGAGTACGATCTATATCAGGAAGCTAGCCAACCTGAATAGGAAGGATGGTGATACGAAGTCTGCCGTTCCAGTTTTGGGTTGTGGGCTTTATACCGGAGTTATACCAGAAGCCTTGCCTCATGCAACCTTTCCTGCTTCGACCTGTTTTTCAACCTGTGATCGTCAGAAAGACCAGAGGTCCCATCTTCATGCAGCCTAGCTTGATTTGGTAGATGATTTTCAGCTGATTGGGTACGACATGTATTGAAAGCCGGTCAATCAATCATGAAGGTGATAAATTTTTTGTAACCAGGTGAGTTTGAACCCTAGACCTTCTCCTGGTGACCTATGGAGCATTACTACTATGCTATAGACCCATTGGTCTGTATTATTATTATTATTATAACTTTTATTTAATAAATTTATTATATATTAAAATAATTTTAATAAATTTTGTTATTTCTATTTTGTAATGTAATTAAAATCAATTACGTATTTTAAAAAAAAAAATTTATAAAATTAAATTTTAAGAAAATTTATACAATATACTATATTTTAAAAACTTTATTAAGTAAACTTGTTTTTTATATTCTTAAATATATTAATATATATTTTTATCTTATTTTATTAATTAGTTATTAAAATATTATAAAATAAAAATTAATATATAGTACAAGTTTTTTTGTTACTGATTGTACATATATTCAATTTTATTTAGAAATTATATAATTAATTTTTTATTTTATTAATAAATATCTTAATTTTTACAAAATAAATTATCATGGATATTTTTATTTGATATTATAGATCTTAGAACTATATTAATTTTATATATTCTTAGAAATCTTAATATATCATATTGATTTTATTAAATAAAGTACTTCTTTGCTATTAGTTCTCTGTTTATATTTTTTTTCTAAAATAAAAACAATATATAAGAATATTTTTAATTTAATAATAAAAATTGTAAGCATATTAAAGATGATAAATATAATAATTAAAATTAATTTACAAGTAACATATAACAATATAAAAAGCATAATCTTTAAATTTGTCATATACTGTATATAAAAATTCTAATTATATTAAGTTTATATTATTGTGATTATAATATATATCAAGTAATCATAACTTTTAATAAACTTTTTTTCATATAAGATATATTATTAAATTTTCAAAAAAAATTAAAATCAATTAAAAGATATTTATTTTATATTATTTATATTATTCTTATACTTTATAAAATAAATTTATAATATTATAAAAAAACTTTCAATAGATATATTTAAATTAAATTACAAACTTGCTATAATATATAGTATATTTATATTTTTTGAATTTTTTGTATCTTTATATTTTCTGTATTTTTGAATATCTAAAAATAAAAAAACTATATACAGTATATCTAAAAATTTAAAAGTAATAAACAATTTCAAATTTATAAACCTAATCAAATAATTATATTTTTAAAAGTCATTTAAGTTTCTTATTAACAATATATTAATTTTCAAAATACTGCATATCAAATACAAGGTATCAAAAAAAAAATCAAATTTTTATTTTTATTTATACTTAAATAAAATTCTAAAAGTCAAATAAAAAATTTTTTTTATTATATGAACTTATAATTTAAAGATAAATACAATAAAATCAATTACTGGTTAATCTATTGATTGTTTTTTTTTTATATTTCAAATTTAATAAAAAAAGTTAAGTGATGTTGCTTTTAAAGTATATTTTAAAGTACATTTTAAAGTACATTTTAGATGTTATTAAAGCAACGAGTAATTAATACAGAGGATTTTATTTCTTTTTACTTTTCAAACAAATGATTGAATATAAAATAAAAACAAAGTTTTATGAAAGTATAATTCATCTAGATTAATATATACTTGTATATATAATTTTCGAAATAAAATAATTCTTTTACTGAAAATTTATTTTTTAAATATTTTTTAAATAGTTTAATTTTTTCTTGACACCCTGTAAGTAAATAGATTTTTAATTTTTTAATGTGATATTATACTAAAAAATATCAATAAACTTCTTTTTTATAATAAAGAAACAACGAAATTGTTTATTTTTATCATTAGCACGCATGATAATTTATTGAGTACATTTTTATGCAAAAAAAAAAACTTGAACATTTCGTTACGTTGAACGAACTCATCTCCGATATTGCCTAATAAGATTTTAATATCAAAAAATGATCGATGCGCGCATGATTGTATCACGATAGCGGTTATATACAATATAATGCACAGGTAAAGTTGTTCTGTACTCATTGTAAAATGTCTGATTCCACCAACAAGATTCACGACATTGCCGTGGCAGGATTCAGCACGCAAACAGAAGCCTACGAACAGTCTCGGCCCAGCTATCCACCGCAAGTTGTTTCCAGCATGATCTCCAGCCTTTCTCTTGTGCCCGGGCAATCAAAGGTTCTTGACCTAGCGTCGGGGACCGGAAAATTCACACGACTGATAATTCCATACAATTTTGATTTGATAGCTGTCGAGCCATCAATAAAAATGAGGAAAAAATTTATGGAGATTTTACCCGAGGTGAAGTTAATGGAAGGTACGGCCTGGAGCATTCCGTTGCCGGACGAGGAATTGGATGCCGTTATCGTGGCCCAAGCGTTTCATTGGTTTGCAGATGCAGCGGCATTGGTTCGTATTTTCCATACTACATTGACATCGTGATCACATATAATTTACAATTGCATGAAATTTTAGAGAGAAATCGCACGAGTCCTAAAACCTGGATGCGGTTTAGCTTTATGTTGGAACATGGAGGACCGTGAAGCGAGTCGATGGGTCGGGGCCTGGCGAGACGAATACGAAAAGTATGACGGGGATATACCACAGTATCGAAAAGACACCTGGAAAAAGGCATTCTCACTTGAAGAGGTTCTACAGACTTTTACACCCTTACAGCATCAAAGATTTCACCATCAAAATTCGTGCGACGAAAAAACCATTTGGCAAAGAGTGCTAAGCAAGAGCTACATAACATGTCTGAATGAAGAAACACGGGAAAACCTGAAAAAGAGATTGACGGAGATATTGAAAAGCGGAACGGATGTGGAACGAACCGAAGATGGAAAGATCATATATCCTTACAATACGGATTTGTATTGGTGTTTTAAGAAACATTAGATTGGATTGTTTTGCACAAGTACAATTAGTTTACAACGTTCCATGAACCACACACGGCCAAAATTTATTGTACCAAGTTATGAATGAATACTTGCTTTACAAACAAAATAACCCCAAATTATACAACCAAAGTGAAGAAAAAAAAATTAACGTAAAAAAAGGATGCATTATCGCCTGTTTAAAGAATTAAATGGTTTATAAACCCTTTGGATACCGGATAAGAAGGAACTTACTACTTGATGCTTGATTAATGGGCAACCGTATTTCGCCGAACCCTCAAGATTCAGGCGTGGCATTCAAGGCTTTCCAGTATTTATCGGCAAATAGTTTTTTACCCTTGATATTCTTAACCATGAAACTACCGACGACCATACTACCCATTGGAAGAAGTCCGGCACCTTTGGTCTATTTAAAGTCAACAGTTACAATTTTATATACATAAAAAAAAAATTTTTTTTTTTATAACATAATAAATCACTTACCTTTCCGATCGTAACAAACAATGCCTCGGGAGCGGGTTTGTATTCGACTAATTTCTTCTTATTGATCAGAGCAATGAGATTTTTAGTTACAATCTCGGCATGCTGCCCAGCCCGATAGGCAAGTTTTGTCTCATGAATATTCGTCACGTCACCTACGGCAAAGATATGCCCGTACTCATCGTGAGATAATTGAAAAGTGGGTTTGACTTTTACTAGATGAGTATCTTCTTCAATAATAGATTCATTAAGGGTCCTCACAACTTCAGTGTTGGGTTTAGCGCCAGCTGCGAAGAATTGAATGTCGGATTCAATTTGTGTACCCTGTTGAAGATGAGTTTTGTAGTCATTAAATTTTCTGACATGTGTTTTTTCATGGCAAAATTATGAAAAAACCAACCTTATCGGTTTCCAAAGTTAACGGAGAAAGACCATCTCCTATATCCGAGGAACCCAAATCGATTTTTTCGCCCATTACTAGCTTAACATTTAATTCTTTTAATTGTTCAGCGAGACGATCTCTTAATTTCATTGGAAATTTCTCTGAAAGCAAAGTGTTTGCGGAAGTGACGAGAGTAATCTCTTTGTCTGTGTAGTTGGTTGCAATTTCTCCGGCAAGTTCTGCATAACATAAATTGACAATTGACAATTGACCGATCATGGAAATCAAGTGATCATTATAATTATAATCATACCAATGCCGACGGGACCACCACCAATAATTAAGATCTTTTTGGCATTTTTTATCGAATCCTGTTGAGCCTTGATATGTTTTACCCCTTCGTTTATTTCATGAGCAGTCGTCTTTGCCGGGGCTGGATAATCGCTTCCGGTGGCAATGACCAAGTATTCAAATTCGATGTGAGTTCCGAATTCTGTTTCCGTACTCACAATCACCTCCTTCTCATGAATGATGGTCACTGTCGCATGTATAACTTTTCCGTTAAATTTAAACATCTTGTCATAGGGGATAAACACTTTCTTTTCAAATCCAGGTTCGACTGCAGCCCGTAATCCACCAATTGATAAATAGAAATGACTTTTTCGTTCAATTAGAATTATTTGGTGGGTCTTGTGAAGGAGACTCTCGAGTTTTGACGCGACATTAATGCCAGCGAAACCTCCTCCTATGATAACAATTTTTGGTTTGGTTTCACTCATTTTCTATACTTGGGTTGAGATGAGAAGCTGGAGTTTTTAGTACGAGTTGGTAAGTGTAAAATGATACTTTTAGATGATCGCGAAAGCAAGAAGAAAAGAAGAAGAAAGTTTTTTTGGACGTTTATATAAGTGCGCATTTAATATCAATTCTATATACAGAATACAGTAGATACCTTAGAGGGAAGGATTGTCGGAAATCCGATCGTTACATAGCTTGATCACACAGTATTAATAATTAATTCTTGGATTACTAATACTAATCCATGCTAGTGCATATACACATACTTTTTTGTTCACAAACATTACATCGGAACAAATGCCGTATCAAATTTCAAACTAACTCGATTGACTCGAGAATTTTTGATTGCGGAATTATTCTGCGTTATACATCAGCCTCATCATAATTGGTTCGTAAACAATGGTTCTGATAATTTACATGTGACGTTTAATGGTGGAATGTAAAATTTTTGATGTTTGGTCTGGGTCTTTGATCGTTAGAAGGATTTTGTCCAACTTTCCCAACTTAAATGCAACCTCACACCGCAGAATGCAGGATATAAGACTAATACATATTTGGATGTCATATGAGAGATTTTCGTTTAGTGTTGCAGATAATTGTATTGTATGTAGAGGATACTGTATACAGTAAATGTGCATACATTATGCGTTTTTTTTTCCATCAAATTTAGGTTTGCCTGTTGGACCAATGTTTATTTTTAATTAAAATTGGTTTCTTCCGTTGGTCCAGTACTTGAATTAAATTCTTCTGCACTATATCTCTGCTCGTGGTAATCAAAATGATGGCTACACTACATATACACGTATAAAATTATTCCACATTCAAATGATGATATGAGTGTCAAGGCTTACGATCATCATGATCTTCACCTCCGCTCCCATCAGATGTCGATTACTGTACAAAAGTCTCCAATGATTACAATGATTAGGTCGTGACGTGTCAAATCATTCGTGGGACAAAAATTTTCGCATGTGTCGCGTTCATAATGACAGGAATTGTATTTTACAAAAAAGAATTTAATAAATACATATTATTTATTAAAGCAGAGCCAAAGAAAAAATTAAGAATAATAAAAAAATTTTCCATTTGTAAGAATGCTGTACATTCAATATCTAGAATTAGTGAAATTGACAAGGATTATAAATACTGTAGGCAAATGCTAAAAAGATTATAGGTTTCACTGATTGTCCATATAAACGAGTCGTCTCTGGTGTAGGCATTAAAATTTTTCCATCGACTTTATATCATTGTGTGTCATCGACACTCAATGTATCCCTCCTCTTGGATCTTCTGTTGGCGGGGCTAGGACTTCTGCTTCTTATGCTTGGCTTTCTTAACACACCGACACCCGATGTCTCAATGTTACGATGGAGACGCGAAATCGCTGGGTTTTGATCTTGCTTTTCGACTACTATTTCCGGTGGTTTAAATGGGTCAAACCCCGGGATATTGGAAGACGTCAGAGTGGGTCTTTTTGGAGTACTGCGGGTAGAAGTAGTATCGACACCGATGGCATTCTTTCCCCCGCAACAACCATTACACGTAATTATCTTGACAAGTCCTTTGAATACGTAGTAGACTAGTATGTCATCGCTATTCACACGCCAAATATCTGCCATGTACTGGATAATGTTCAGCATCGAGGACATTATTATTGCCGCTACCGAGACAAAGTGAGCGGTCGATACAAACAAAGCTGTATCCCTGATACGAAGAGTCACGTTAGCAGAACTATCGATTGGAATTGTGATGTTTTCACTATTATTATCTACAACATTAGAATTGTATGAAGAGGTGACATCCGGAGATGCAATCGATGCAGCAATGATGATCAACAATTGACTGAGGACACCAATGGTTTGGGATATCTGAGCATCTAAGCTCTGAAGAGATTCGCTATAGGTGGATGCTTTGGTACTAAGTAAGTGAAAAATTTGAAATGGTCCTCCAAAATATAATGGGCCACTAAAGTACGAAGGTTTCTCCGTTTTGGTAATTTTTGCAACCGAAACCATTGCCAATGAAGTCATGAAAATTCCCGTTTGCAAAGTGCTAGTCATTCCAGAAATTTTCCCCACCACATCCAATTGACCAAAATTCCATTGACTTACTACAAAGGACCTAAAGAATAGATCAACGAGAAAATCTCCAAATGAGGTGGAATCTCCAAGAATCGTTAACCAGTCCATGATAAGGGAGGTGTAATAAAGTCCAACGGTAATCAATATGTCCAATCGATTAATCACTATCGTAATTCTGGTGGTATTTTGAGCCTTTTCTTCCGTTGTGTCGTCATCATGTTCGGTTAACTTCCTTTCTAGTTTCTCTTTCACCCCTAGATCATCCAATACGTCGAGCGCCTCATGAACGATCTCCCCGCCTGTTTTGGTTTCCTCTTCAGCCGTGGAAGGATTGGGATTAGGACTGGAATCGGGATTGGGATTGGGGTTGGGGTTGGGAGAGGGTAAAGACCCCGACATCATACATATGGTTCAGGAGAAACAAGAAAAAATCGAATTTTTTTTAAAAAAAAAAAAAAAATTCAGGATTTATGGAACTTAATACGCCGACGATCTTTCGAGTTTTGTCGAGAATTCTTCTCTCATTTCACGAGAATGTGACAGATAGCAAATTAGGAAGTTTTCACATAAAGTAATTGAGGTAACAGATGCCAGGTTCATGACGTTGTTTTCAATCACGTCGCACGTATACATAAATTACTCGGCTTGTTTGATCAGACAAGCCTCAATCAAAAAGCCATATGAAGCTTGACTATCAATCATTTACGCTAAGCCACGAGTCATTTACAAAAGTGCGTTTCACTTCGTTTCTTTCTTTTTCATTTTTTTTTTTTTAATACGATCATCTTTATGTAAGTCACTTAGTATTAAACTCTGTGATTGTGGTCATTCTAATGCGATTAATCATGTCTCCAATGATAATGAACTTTCCCTTGATGTTGAATTTTTGACCCAAGAAAATCTAACGCTCGACATTCAATTGGTCTTTTTTTTTTGACAAATGATTAAAGGTATTTTTCGTGGCTTTATCATAATGAATTTTATTTCTCCAGAAAAAGCCTTCTTTATATAAACAAGAGATCATTGTATTTGGTTCAAAAAAAAAGAAAAAGCCTTCGATATTAAATTCCTACTTATATCAACGACATTTATTTATGTCATAAACAAAAGCCTTCAAATTGTTTTTGATTATTTTCTTACCAATAAAGTAATAATGGGAAAAGGACATTTATACAAGAGGCTCAAATGGCATGGGGTTTTTCCGTTGTGGCCACGTCTGTGGCTAAACTTCTCTTTTCAAAATCGTCTTTTATGCGTAAATTCCGCATTAATTAATTTTTTGATCAAGTTTACATAAACAATGTGTGTGATCAAACGTTTACGCGTAGGTAAAATTTTGATCACTACATTAATTGATATAATCGTCTTTCAACTAATAAGCAATTGCGTAATAATCCGCAATACGTTTTGTGTACAGAAGCCATCAGTAGTTTGTAAACAAAAAATTTTGTTTATCATCCTACTATTGTTTTCCCGAAAAAGGTGCACGACCTACTTTGGACTATTTTCTTACGATTCACGTATGACGTAGCTTTTTACCCAATCGTAATTCTAACAGCAAGACTAGGTCCACAAAAACAACGATTTGAAATGTAACAAAAGAAATCAACCAACTGCACCAACCTTTGTTGATAATTTTATGAACGGTAAGATTACTAATCATGGTTAAATCCGGACCGTTTGAAAGAAATAAGGTGTTATGCTTGTCGTCCAAAAATATATTTTCATGTATTATTTAGATTAATTAATAAACGATGGTTAAAGAGAAGTTGCGCAGAAATTGATTGCCGACTAACCTTTTAAGTTAGAGGAAAATGCAATTCTTTGAGCAAGGGTTCATTCTACCGAATATAGTTAAAAGGCTCTACATCAGCCATGACGTCAAATTGAACTAAGCTAGCAATTGGGCTATTATGGATCGGCAAATTTATTAGCAATACGAATATCACTCGTTTTTCTCTATTGTTCGATTCCTTTCATACATAGTTACAGCACCACCCCTAAAAAATATTCATTTAAACATAAATGTAATATCTTTCATATTACACAGTATGTTATAAAATTGCGCGGTATTAATTGATCCGGGCGATCCAACCTTTTCTATGCAAACCACGATCGACCTTACTGGTGAACAGAACGAGCCATTCACTATACCTAATTTTGCATCGCAGAAAGTATATACTAAACAAACAAGATATAATAATAAATTTATGGTATTCTTTAAATTGATGATTACAAGAAAACCGTTTTTTTTAATATTTATTATACTGTATAATTTGCTTTAGTCATTAACGTGATTCGTTGAGGATTTTTTTTTTTTTTTTTTTTATAAAAAAAAAAAAAAAAAGAATAATAATTTGATTATCTCTTGGTCTGTTTTCGAAACAGATTTTTTTTTTTTTTTTTCTTTTTTTTGCTCGAATTTTTATATTTTTTTAGATGAGCTGTGCGATAAATTATTATTTATATTTAAAAAGAATACTGTATGTTATTGCAATGACAAAAATCGAATGAGATCCAATTTATTTTTTATAAAAAAAAATTCCATAAAAAAAAAAAAGAAAACTTGTACAGTACAGTACAGTACAGTACAGTAAAAGCAATTGATAGTACCGCCGTATCTTTAATAAGCTTTTAATGATCGATAGAGAATAAATAAAAAAATCATGAATTTAAATTCAAAATCTCTACGTTTCTTTGACCATACAAACATATGTGTGGCTTTTTATGGATTTTTGTTTTATGATTGACGGCGTCGTTGCATTTGCATCGTAATTTTAATTCGAACAAAAAATACAGTATGAATAGTTATTCTTTTAAAAAAACCATTACAGTATTATGCAAAGGTTTTAATAGAAAATTATATATTTAATTAATGTTATTATAGAAATTCTAAAATGCTAATTTCAAATCAACAATTAGAATCAACTACATATAATTATTTTCTTTTAACCATCTTGGAACATCTTCCTTGGCACGATCTAACCAATTGGCATTGGTTCGAATTCTTTCTAAACTCTGCATCAATGGACTCTTAATTTCATCAGTACTCTTGTCACTAAAGAATCTTTCGATTTCTTTGGCATCTTCTTCGGACGTGAACGCATCGGTAGCACCTTTGACTAGATTTCCAAAGATAGTATGCAAATCTTTGTACCGATCATAAATCTACAAATAAAATGATACTGATAATAAGTAAAAAGCGTACACATAAATACATACGATATATATATCTCTTAACGATTAATGTACTTGCCAAGTTCCAATTACTTTTAAAAAAGTTCCATAACTCCCTTCGTGCTTTTCTGTTAGCCTGAAGCCTAAACAAACATAAACAAGTTTAGGCACACATGTACTGTATGCGTGCGTACATAAAAACAATAAATGTTTACCCATAAAATGCATAATCTAGGTCTTGAGGTTTAACTTCTTCGGATATTGCAAATTTCATTACGTCTTGGATCAGGACCGCGTCTTGAACAAAGAAAAGACCCTTAAATGCTACAACTTTTTGGTCGGCAGTTTTGGCATTTTCGTAAATATTCTGAATAGATCGAAATATGTCCTTTTCTTTCATTTTGCTTGTGTTTTTTTTTGTATTTGCATAAGTCAACACCATCTCATAGACAGAACCACGAATATTCGCATTTAAAATTGAATCGTCATGGTTTGAAGTAAAAATTTCAAAACGACGGAACGCTTCTTCCACGATTCTATTATATAAATAATACGATTTGAAAAGAAAGCATCATTATATACTGTATGTGTGAATAAATATTACCTGTCTTCTCCTGCTTTGCCGGCCATTTTGATAGCCAATTTCTTCTGCATAGTTTCCAAATAACTTTCAGTCCCAAGAAATGCCAAACTCACGCCTTCTACTAATTTTGATATAAGTTTACGTTGGAATGACAAAAGGCCCTGGTACACTTTATCATATTTATCTTCATAAAATATATTAAGCAATTCTGATAAGAAAGAATTTATCTGCCTCCAAACGCTGCGTAAGCAAAATATAATGTTAGGCACTGTTTTAAGTAAACAACATAACTGCATATATATTCTGTATATGCAAAGTTCTTAACATACGTATAATTTTCTTCATTTTCAAATTTACTAATAAGATCTAACACAGTACTGGTCTCAATATATCCACTTGTTGCCAGTGCTCCGGAATCAGCTATTAGTCCGGTACAATCAATCACATCAAGAAAATTATTTTCAACAGCTTTCCCAAGCTTCTTTAATCGTTCTGGTGAGTAATTTAATCTAAAAACACCTATCTTTCCGGGATTGAGAAGATAAAAATCATCATTGTGTGAAACTGATTCGACTCTCGGAAGTTTCAACGTTGTCTCTCTTGTGTCAAGAACAATCATAAAACGAGTTTGAAACTTTGTGCCAACTTTGATTTCAAGCGGAACTTGCCAGATAGTCTTGTCCGTTTCTTCGTTGGGCTTTATGGACAAGCAACGCGATTGATGAATTTTTAATGTTATCGAAGTGTCGGCGGAATCTGAGGTGGATTCTTCAATAGTCAACACTGGATACTGATAAATCAAAATTATAATAAACCAAAAATCGCAGATAACTAGTAACAATATGCATTTTATTCTTTATCTTACATACTCCAACTTTTGTAGTCCAATTTGACATAAATCCTCTAACATCTTTTCCGCTTGTTTCGGACAATGCATCCCATAAATCATCAGTGGTTGCGTTGCCGTATATATGCTTATTAAGATATTTCCTTACACCCGACAAAAACACGCTTTCTCCGAGATAGGAATTACTTAACATGCGTATCACAGATGCTCCCTTTGAATAGCTTATGCTATCAAAGATCTGATTAATTTGACTATGGAACATTAAGAATATCAATTATTAGTAAAAATAAGAACGCGAAAAGATCCAAATAATAATAATAATAATACTGTACTTTGAATTTTCAACAGGCACTTGAATTGGATGTGAGGAATTTTCTAATGCATCAAGTTCTAACCCTTGTTCAAGTGCCTCTATAACAAATCTATTTGAGAAGTTGTTCGATTATGATTTTAGAATATCGAGAAATAATAAACACGATAAAAAATAATATCTCACTGGGTCCAAATATCCCAGTCGGGAAAGAACTTTGCAACAGCAAAATATTCGAGCCACGAAGCAAATCCTTCGTTGAGCCAAAGATCATCCCACCTGCAAAAATACAAGAATCAAAGCATACTGGGTAATATATGTATATGAAATATAAATCGTGAAGACAAATTTACTAATTACCATTTCATGGTTACAATATTTCCAAACCACTTGCACAGGAAAAAAAAATTATAATATGATAAAATGATAAAATGATAAGATTCAAAAAGCAATCATCTTAAAAGCTATCTACCTGGTGTGCCAACTCATGAGCCACAGTAACGGCTACGTCCTGTTTACATTTGGAATCCGAAGCATTTGGATCAAACAAAAGTTGTGTTGTATTAAAAGTTATAAGACCCCAATTTTCCATGGCACCTTTATATTTTAAATAATTAAATCCAATCTCACTCACAAAGATCTGTGATTAAAATATATAAGATTACCGGTTCCGGTATCTGGAATGGCAACCAAATCACACTTCGGCAGAGGATATGGCATGCCGAAAACTAAAGTAAGAGATATTAATGAATTTTCCTATCATTTTTTTTTTTAAAAAAATAAAGAATTAAATAGAAATAACTAACTTTCGGTATAATACTTTAAAGACTTCTTTGTCACCTCCAGGGCAAATGCTCCATTTATTTCGTTGCCATTTACTGCATACACCCTGATCTTTCCTGCCTTTCCATTGTCATCAATGTCGAAAGTTTCTTCCTCAATATATCCAAGCTCTCCAGCAACAAATGCCACAAGCTTTTAAGATTTACTGGAGTTAGCATTAAAATTTATAAAAATCCTTAATAACTATTAGTTAAGAAACATTTCTTACATAAGTGCTCATTTTAGGCGTAGTCGCGAATATTACTTTTTTTTTGTTACTCTCGTATGCTATCTCAGAGACAACATTCATGTTGCTTAATGCGATCAGATTAGAAGGTACAATCAGTGTGATATCGAACGTAGCCTTTATCGATGGCTCGTCCCAGCATGGAAAGGCCCTACGCGCATCAGTTGCTTCAAATTGCGTTGTTGCTAAATATCTGCATTTAAATAGCACGGAAGAACGTTAAATCAAATAGACGTCAATATATATACTGTATATAAAGATGATCGACAAACTTGGTGACTCCAGTATCGTCTTTATAAGAACTTCTATAAAATCCGACCATATCATCATTTAATTCTCCATTATACTCTAGGTGTAATTCAGCTTTAGATTTTGCAGGAATAAGGACCGGAAAGGTCATTATCACCATCTCATCTTCGAGAAATTTTATTTCGATGGCATCTTCGGTAACTATCTCGTATCCTCTGGTACTTTGACTATTAAAGGATCAAAATTTTTGTAGTGACCCACTCAATAAGCATAAAATTATTACAACGCAAGTGGAAACTGTGAAGACCTTGACTCTAGCTTTTCAACCAAATAAACAATTTTTGCGGAAATTATTTCAAGTTTATTAGCGTGAAGTTTAACCGAGTTTGTTTTTTCGTTAACATCCAACCTAATAAATATTATCATCAGAATTATCCAAAATCAGCGACAATTTTCATATAAGGCTCACTTGATAACTTCTTTCCCGCTAAACTTAAATTCCTCCATGTCCACAGTAAAAGTTAAGTCATAGTGAAATGGTGTTATATTTTTTGGCAGCATGTGATGGTTCTCTGTTGTGGTCATTTTTGTTCGAATTCTATTTTCTCGATGGAAAAGGCTAACGATGTTTAAATTTAAATCGAGAATTGACGCACATTTAATATTTTTTTAAGTCGCACAAATCCATTAAATCACATTTTTAAATTTTTTCGTCTAATTTTATCGCGATATTCGTTAAAATAAATTGTTCTAAAAGAAACGCAAGAATGTGAGAAACCAATATTTCTATTATCTCTATTTTTTTTGAGTTATTAGATTATGTTAAATAGTTTAAAATACCATTATGACAATTAGGAAAAATAAAAAAAAAATGACCCAAGAGATTTTTTTAAAAAAAAAAATTTTTTTATTTGATAATATCAAGTCGTTAATTTTAAATTTGATAAAACTAAAATGTGAAAATATTTAGGATGTATTTTTTTTTTAAAAAAAAAAAAGCATTTCGAATTAATGAATTTTTACATTATTGTCATAATACTGTATACGCTATTCGTGTTTGTAACTTTTAAAATAAAATTCATTCTGAATTAATCTATAAAACGATCAAGCATCGAAATTTTTTTTTTAATTAATAGCTATACGGTATATATTTATTTATTTTACCTCTTGATAATTATTATCATTTAATTATTTCAATTATTGTATTTACGTTGTAACTTTTTGCTAATTGGGAAAATGTAATAGCTTCTCTGGTCTGTTAGAATCTCCTGAGAGGTAGGTATTTGATTAAAAATTGTGTAAAGGTAAGGGATGAGTATTTTTGAGTTTGTTTTATGAAGAAGTATGTGACTTTGAAGGAGCCAGGTGCTTTGTTGTTTGAAAGGGAATTGATTAATTCTGTGATTTCGTATTTTGTAATTGGGTACATTAATGTGTTGTATGTTGAAGGATTGATATTATTGAGTGGTGTGTAGTGTTTTTTCTATTTGAGGAAAAGTTTATTGTTAATGATTCATTTATGAAATATCTTTTTGTAATAGTTTGGAATTATTTGTTAAGATTAATTATTACTTCTTTATTGATAAGATTAATGACTTTTATAAAGGATATGTGAGGTTTTTGTGATTAATAATTTATTTAATTATAATTTTGGAATTGTTCTAAAGATTTGTTATTTGTTAATTAATAATTTTTTCAATTGTTCTTTTTTTTTGTGGATTATTTTACATTGTAAATGTTTTAAAGATAATTTTAAATAAATTTTTAAAAAAGTTGATTTGATTATTTTTATTGATACAAGAAAGTTTACAATCCTTGAAGTCTTTTAATATTACATAATTAATTAAATAAAGAAGCTATATTGTTAAATTATAAATGTAGTATTTAATAGCTTGTGGTTTTTGCAATGTTGTTTAAAAGATCTTGAAATTTGTAATAAGATTTAAACATATGTAAAAATAAAATAAAATAAAATAATATTAATAGTTCTTTAAATAAATAATTGATAAAATAATGCAAACAATTAATCAGATTTTTTTTTGATTCAAAATTAATAAAATTAAATTTATATATATTTTTATATTTTTTTGAATACTTTTTTTATTTCATTAAATTCTTTTTGATAAATTGGTTTGATAATATATTTAAAAGTAAAGAAGCTAAAATATATATGGTTTTTAATAATTTTAATAATTGTATAATATCATTAAATACTAATAATAATTAGTTAATCAATAATTTTATTTTTTTATAAAAAGTATTATATTGTTTAATATTATAGATTGATTAATGTTATTTTTCAATTTAATAATTAAGAAAAAATAATTATATGTTTAATTGAAATTATTAATTAATTATCAAAATATCTTTTTGATAATAAGTAATAAAAATTAATATTTCCTTAAAAGTCACCAGCAATTTTTAAAATTTCAATACTCTTTTTGCCAATATTTGATTGAATAATTACAATTCCAAAATCACTCAAAAGAATGATTACAATATAAACCTAATGAAAATTGTCCTTAATCAAAGCAACAGTTAAGATATTAAAAAAAATAGAAAGATTCTTCAAGAAATTAATCTTAATAAAGACAATCTTTAAAAAAATAAAATAAGTCAAGGCAGCTATCAAGAAAACAATTTGAATTCTAACAGCTCAAACATTTTTAAAACAATAACAATCAAGAAATTAAAAAAGATCAAAATATCCTTTAAGAAAACAATCTTAATTAAGACAACTTTTAAAAAAATGAAATAAATCAAAACAGTTTTCAAGAAAATAATTTGAATCTCAACAGCTCAAACATTTTTTAAAACAACAACTTTAGCCCTTTTACTCTTAAGACAACAAACTTCAACTTATTAACTTTTTTAATAACAAACTCTATATCAACAAGAATAAAAAAAAACCATCATATAAAACATCTCAAATTATATCTTGCCAATGTAATAAAAATCATAAGATATTGTCTTTGTTTAAAAATCAAAAAAGATTATGAAAAGAAAATCAACAATTAGTATAATAAATTTTATAATTTTTTTTAATTACATTTTAATATATATATCTTTTTAAAGAATTATAATATTATAGGTAACAAGTTAATAAACAACTTTTTTTGCAATAACAATAACTTTATTTTTTAATAAGAAGACTTAATAAGAATATTTAAGAAATCAAGACTAAAATAAAAAAGAAAAATGAATATAATAAACTTA